TTCCTCTCTGTAAAAAATCAATAAAATATATTTAAAATAAATAAATAAATTTATATATTATTTTCAAATACATTTTTCTAATTTCTTTCCATCTCTCACACTTCTATTATAGAGAAAGGGCAAATAGCAATATTAAAATATTTCTGCTAATTAATTCCCTTTTAATGTGCATGAATTTCGTGCACTGGGCTACTAGTATTTGAAAAATGTTCTAAAATGTATAATGACAGGATTATGGTATTCATGGTATAGTAGGAATAATCATTAGACATTTTGCATTATATGATGACTTACTTAGAAATTTCTGTCTACAGTTTGAGGCCTTTCTTCAGAAACATGTTTTGAGAAGTACATTTAGTATGAAAAGTCTATTCATGTGCTGGCTGCTATTGTATTTGATCATGACTTCAAAAATAGCAATGACAGGTTGCCATTTAAGGTGAGAAAGTTTTATCTGAAGTCCTCATGATTATACTTTCATGTTTCAGAAATTTAATTAGGTAAAGGTGACATCCTCATTCTTTAAATGGGAAAAAATGTAACTTGCCCATGATTATAACTGATAGTATATAGTGCAGCAAGGGTTTAAATCCAGCTTCAACTTTAATTTTTCTTTTTGTTTTGTTTTGTGAATCCTCACCCAAGGATATTTCCCCATTGATTTTTAGGGAGATTGGTAGAGAGAGGGAAAGACAGAGAGAAACATCAGTCTGAGAGAAACACATCAATTGGTTGCCTCCTGCACACGCCCTGACCAGGGCCTGTGCCGGGGAGGAGCCTGTAACTGAGGTAGGTGCCCTTGACTGGAATCAAACCCTTGGGGTCTGCAGGCTGACGCTCTATCCATTGAGCCAAACTGGCTAGGGCTAATTTTCCTTTCTGAACATCACAGATTTATTCTGCAGCTGAAATAAAAGTGTTAACAGGTCTGAGTCCCTCTGGAGGCTCCAGGGGAGAATCTGTGTCCTTGCCTTTTCCAGCTTCTCAAGGTCGCCCACACTCCTTGGCTTGTGGCCCCTTCCTCCATCTCTCTCTGGTCCTGACTCTCCTGCCTCCTCCTTCTAAGGACTTGTGGTAACATTGAAGTCACCCAAATAATCCAAGACAATCTTCCCATCTCAAGAGCCTCCGCTTAATCTATCTGTAAGTCCCTTTTGCTACCTAAGGTGACATATTCACAGGTTCAGGGATTAGGACACGGACACTGATGGGGGTCATCATTCAGCTAACCACAGACTGATGTTCAGGTTGCTCTTTTGTGCTGGGAATCAAGGACCCCAAGGTCAGGGTGGGTGACAAGGAAAGCTGCCGCCTACAGGGATTGGAAGGGGCCGAGGAGCCACAGATGTGTGATGAGAGCATGGAGGCCCCAGACCTGGAAATGAGAAACCCTGACTTGGTGTCTCAACAGCTGTGTGACCTGGGACAGGTCACCACCTTTCTGAGCTTCACTCTCTGAAGGTGATGGGGTGGGCATGAGAGGCCCTCCTTGCAGGGTTTGGAAGAGCCAACTGGATCACATCATAAATTGCGTGGCCCAGTGCCCAACACAAAGTAGATGTGCAGCCTGTGCTGGCAACCGAGCATGGGGGCCTCTAAACCGAGTCCCCGGGAGATGATACCACTTGGGTGAAATGACTCACCCCGGGACCATCTCAAAGGTGAGAAAGAAAAGGGTGTCTCAGATGCATAACTCTGGTGACAGCCAAGAGACCGGAGACCTCACTGTGGCATAGAGTAGGTACATGATGGATGCGTGGAATGAATGCAGCTTCAACTTATTTTAATGACCAGTGCATTACACGGATGAGGAAAAACCACACTCTGCTATCTAAGGTCTTACATTCAGAAAATGGAGTAATAGAAACTAGTAAAAATATTCACTCTGCCAATCTGCCTGGCCAGGCAGATGCTTCCAGTCCTGCAAATGGTGGGTAAGAAAATAAGAATATGCCAGGTGAAAAAATAGGTAGCAATAAATATCTCCTGGAATTTCAGAAAGGGCATATCGATAATGTCATATTTAAACTTTCTAATGAGATAATTTTAAGTGTAATTGCTATTCTAACTTTGTAAGGTCAAGTTCACAGTAAAGCTGTCACTATATGAAAATTAAAGAACAAACACAAAACCACCAGGCCGTGTCTGGACCTTTTTTGGCTGAAGCAGCTCCCTTGCCGGGGGCTGTGAACTCTTGAAGGAATTTCTCTCTCTCCCCTCCATTCAGGACAGTAAAGTCTGCAGCATGTTTTGGCTCTAATTATTACGTGACATGCCTCCCTTTCCTGCATTTTATGACATGCTTTTAATACATTGTTTTTATGTATCCAAAGAAGTCATTGCTTCAACTTTCAGAATTCTTGGTTCTCGCTCTGCTGGCATGAAAAGAAGCTTCAGTAACCCATCAGTCATTCCTTTGGATGTCTTTGACATGTTAAAGTTTGGTGTTTTAAAAAAAAGCAGAGGCATATATACTAGCAGAAAATCCAACATTAAGGCTTCTTTCTTTTGAGTGCATTACTTCATTTCTGTTCTAAACCTGTAGTAATAGCTCTGTTAACATAAAAAAACATTCAAAACTGTGAAGATATAGGAGCAGAGACTGCAGGTTACTCTTCAGACACCCTAGATTTTAATTGCTTCAATTTCTGCTCCCTAAGTCCCATTGTTAGTCCATGTCCATCAACAGAACGGGGACAGAGAACTGCTTCCTCTCAGGTTCTCAGTTATGACGTCCTCCCATGTCCTCACCTCCCCTCTGTGCCTTTTCCCCACATGAACTTCGCAGCGGCTGGGAGTGGAGGAGAGGCTCATTTGGGTTGGGGCCGGAGGGGAGGACAGCGATGGTGATTGCACTTTTCTGTCGTTGAAGGTGTTTGGCGTTTTGGAGGAAGCGAAAGAGCAATTCAATTTAGAAGATTATTCTGTCAGTCAGATAACGCTGGAACAAGTCTTCCTGACCTTTGCCAACCTAGAGAACAATGGACTTGACGGCAACAAGGAGGTGCCCTGAGATTCAGTTCCAACCCGAGGCCTGTCTTCTTAGGCCTCTCTCTGCTACGCCTGGATACGTAGAGGGGCATTCCTGTGCGTGTGTAGATGTTGGTGTAAATATGCTTATGTAATAAAGAGTCCCCCAAAGGACCATATGTCCCTTCTTTGCAGACTTACATGGGTGGCCTGTGAAGCCAGCATGTGCAAATCTAAAGACATGTGGTGAAATTCATGCTCTCTCTCCTAGAAATATGTAAGACCAGCATTCATCAAGGTGGGAACAACCTATTTCTGAGAATTCTGAGTGTTTGAACAGAAACATCCAGAAATGATGGCGCTGTTAGATGGGACAGCTGGAAGACCATGAGATTTATTTTTAAGTTGAGTTATGGGTAAGAGAAGCATTATGCTTGGAACAAAGCATATTTCCCATGCATACACACATACATACATACACACACATACTCACCAATGTTATACCCCAAAATAATCTAATTAAAATAAATAGCAAAGTTTAAGGGGTAAATTGGGTTATTTCCAAAACTCAAACCAAGATTTTATATTTGTAAGATGATGTTTGCACGAAGACCACGCAGAGTCCAAGAACATAAAGCAAAAACAGTCTTTGAAAATAGGATGTTTTCCTTCCTACCCTTGCCTACCTCTGATTAAGAAGAAAAGATGGAGAAATGAGGTGGAGAGAGAGGTAGATAGAGAGCTCTTCTGATTCTTGTTTGGACAGCTGGAGTCCCCATGAACAACGGAAGTCTAATCATTTCTCCAAAATATGGGCAGGTGAGCAGCCAAGTGGAATGAGCCTTGTTGAATTGCAAGATGGAAAGAGTCCCTGAAGCTGCTCTATTTTGGGATGGTTTGTTCAAGGTTTTCATTGTCTCAGTCTTACAGTACAAGATGACATCCACAAGGTATTCTCTGTTCCATTGTTTTTAGCTAAATATAACCTCCTGTGAGTCCCATTCCCACACTACCATTGGTCTCCCAAAAGCGATTTCTGTAATTGTAAAATGTGTTTCCCGGGCAAGCCGCGATTCAAAGGGGGAGAGAAGCTACTTAGTAGCTCTTGCATCTAGTCTCCCCGTTGGCTTCCTCACTGACCCTTTAAGACATTCCCTTCCTCTGGTAGCCCCTCCCACTGTCCCTCCCTGCCCCCAGCTCACCTCTGCGTCTTCCAGCAAGAAACAAAGATATTGTGCATCAGGTCCTCTGCGGAGCACGTCCACAGGGTTAGCTGTCAGGAGGCACCTAAAGAGCATGCCCTGAGCCTAAGGCTAAGGGACATTACCCAGGGAAGAAACAAATCTGAAGAGAAGGTGGGGATGTGGACTGGCCCTGGGCTAGGCCTGTTTCACACCTGCCAGCAGCAGGAAATGCCCTCAGGGTCAGCCTGCTGGGCCACTGGGAGCTGTGGCCTGGGGGGGCACACAGGATACACTGTTCGGGGGTGGCTGGCAGGCTGGTGGCAGTAGGGGCACCTGCGTGAACCACTGGGAAGCCACACTTAATGGGGTGGGGACGGGGCGTGGGGTGGGGGAGGTGAGTGAGGCGAGTGTCCTCAGGCTGCACAAGAGGATCCCAGAGCAAACGCCTGAAGCAGCAGTGGAGGCCCTCGTCCAGCCGCGTCCTCCAGCGCCCTCTCTGACAGCCTGACCTGTGGCCCCCAGAGCCCAGCTCCTGGCACCGCGAGGCAGTCAAGGGCACCCGACAGCAGGGTCAGCATTAGGAACCTGTGACCCAGCCGGTAGGTGCACCGGAGGTGGAGGTGCCGTTGGGGCGGGGTCGGCCCAGAGGAGCGTCTGCGGACTCGGGGAGCAGGAGGAGGGTTTGCAGGTGGGTCAGCCGAGTGGCCGGCGGCGGCCCGGGCAGCGA